GTACATAATAGAAAAGACATAAATATAAATTGTCCAATTGTTAAAAAACACCCCTTGAGATCGATTTTGGTGAAACTTACACTGTCACAGACATTACGCATAACATAAAGAGGCGAAAATAACAATTAATTTGTCCGCGAAACAGGTAAATAAAATGAATTGTTACTACCACGACGAGTACGAAAATCGGGAACACGTAGACAGATCCTGTCTAGAAGAAAAGGGCAATCAATTGTTCCATTCAACAAATTACATAGAAATTTAGAAGCTATCAGATTCATACGTTTGACTAAATTAGGTAAATTATATCTACTTAAGAGAATGTCATTGCGTATACCCCTTTCAGGGTACGCTCTATCATCTGTAAACCATAAGTATTTCACAAAACGACGTTGAATTCTCTCGATGTTTTTTATCATAGGCCGGGTACCAGATAATCGAACAGTATTCTAAAATAGATCTGACAAAAGCATTAAAAAGTAAAATTAATGTATTAGTATTATTGAAATGTCTACTGTTTCTTATAACAAAACCAAAATTTTTAAAGGCTTTTGCTATTATTGCATTAATGTGATCAATGAAAGAAAGCTTTAGATCGAATAATACGCCCAAATCCTAGACGATATTAACACGACAAAGAACATTGCTACCGATTTCAAAATAAAACATGTCGGTTCCACTCTACGTGTAAACGTCATAGTAGTACATTTATTGACATTCAAGTGCATGTTATTTACTTTACACCAGTGATCAGTGACATTCAAATCAGCCTGTAACCTTAAACTGTCTAGCAACACACGCTATTAAAGATTTTGAGGTCATCGGCATATAGCAGGTACTCACAACGCAAGTCTTTTGTAACATCATTGATAAAAATTAAAAATAATAGAGGACCCAGAACAGAACCTTGGGGTATCCCTGATGTAGCTAAAACCGCACCAGACTTATATCCACGGAAGTCCGCACATAATTGTCTATCACTGATGTATGAATGAAAGAAAGCTAAGAATCTAGATGTTAGACTTACTTAGACAACTTCTGCAGTAGAACACCGTGATCCAAACGGTCGAATGCTTTCGAAAAGTCAGTATATACTACATCAACTTGCCCGCCATTATCCAGAATTGACACGGAGTACTGCCTAAAACATGCCAGATTACGACACGTAGATCTACCCTTATAGAAACCATGTTGACTCGTCGATATTGACCGACTTACATGAGAGAACAAAATATCAAAAAGAACAACTCAATAATTTTGGCAATATTACTTAAAATAACAATAGCCCTGTAATTCCCTACCTGCGATCGATCGCCTTTCTTAAAAACAGGTGTTATTTTAGACAATTTCCATTTTCTAGGAAAGGTGGCAGATTTCAAGGACACATTGAAAAGATATGTCAAAGGCTCAGCAAGAACACACGCACATTCTTTTAGAGAAAATGAAGGTATGGAATCCAAGCCAGTGGAACATTTATGCTTTAACCGTTTTATTGCATTCCGTACATGTTCCACATTAATAGTCACGATATACAGGGTGGCGCAGAGGAAACGCACGATTTTCACCTAAGCATAACATTTTTTATTTTCAAGATAACTTTGTTTCAGTTACAGCTAAATAAAGTAATGATAGTGCACTTTTAAACTAATGATGGTAAATAACGTCACTCAAGTGTCGCCCTGCTTCGCGCTCGCACATCTCCAACCGCTCTTGAAAGTTGTGCATTACACGTAAAATCATTTCTTGTGGTATTCTTGCAATTTCTTGACGAATAGCAATTTTCAGTTCCTGTAACGTACGAGGCTTGTGAGGGTACACTTTATCCTTAAGGTAACCCCACAAAAAGAAGTCGCATGCGGACAAATCTGGGGAGCGTGGGGGCCAAGGGACATCGCCGAAACGGGAAATCACATGTTCAGGAAACATCTGTCGAATCCATTCCATTGATGCTCTCGCTGTGTGAGCTGTGGCACCGTCTTGTTGGAACCACAGCTCTCCCATGTTTACTTGTTGCCGTTGAAGTTCGGGTAACAGAAAATTTTGTAACATGTGAACATAACGTGCTGAAGTAACTGTTACTGCTCTTTCTTCCTCTTCAACAAAGTAAGGACCAACGATACCTAATTTACTGATTCCGCACCACACAATTAATTTTTGACTATGCAAGGGTCGTTGGTGTAGCTCTCGTGGATTTTCGGCCGCCCAATACCTACAGTTCTGCTTGTTTACATATCCTGTTAAATGGAAGTGTGCTTCGTCACTCATCATTATGACGACGTCAGGATCGTCAGCAAAAATGGCCCGCATTCTCGCACAAAATTCTCTACGCTGTGCAAAATCGCTTTCCGTTAGCTCTTGCACGATCATTATCTTGTACGGATGATATTGTAAATCGTCATGCAGAATGCGTTGTAACGACCGACGGGACATACGCAGAGTTGGAGCTTGGCGCCTAGTGGACCGTTGGGGACTATCAAGGACCGCTCTTCTCACTGTTTCGATATTGCCTGGAGTCCGCACGGTACGGGGAAGGCCAGGTGGCTTCCTCTTCATTACGGATCCAGTACTTCGAAATGCTTCAACCCATAGAAAGATACGGCAACGTAGCTACTAACGTCGTGAAAATTCAGTCCCGTTGTTTTGGATTGTAAATATCGTAAAAATCTTGTTTTATTTGATTATTTCGCAACGTTTCAGTTCTGTTGATATCTAATTTTGAATGTGAGTTAAAATCGTCGGTGTCTGTGTCGCTTTTGCACCGAAAATCGGAATTTTGGTTCCCAAAACAATAGTGCAACTCAGGAATTTTTTTGTCACCTCGTCAGTGAAGACAGAACCTTCTGTGTGTGCGGTGTTGCGACGTTGAAGTAATATTCTGAGGTAACAGAATTTTATGTCGTGTTTCATGTGGGCAAATACGTTGGCCCAAAGATGGGAGGAACTGAGGATGATGGCGGAGACTCTTTGTGTAAAATATGCAAACACGAAGTAAAAGACAATGAACATGGTCTTTTATGTGAAGGAAAATGCCAATCTTGGTATCACATAACTTGTCTGGGTATTACTAGTCAGCTATATAAAAAAATGTATGGAGAAATTCTGAAGATCCTTATTTGGATGTGCCCTTCTTGTAAGAAACAGCTTAAGCAATTAATGGAACTGGAGACCTGTGCTGATAAGATGAAGACTCTTTGTGACAAATTTGCAAATATTGAAGGAAAAGTTAATAGGATATCCGAAAGTATGGAGAAGTCCTTTTCAAAGCCTACATATTCACAAGTTGCAATCTGTAACAAGCAGTTTTCCGTGGCAAAACCTGTAAATCTGCCCAACTTGATAATTAAGCCAAAAAACAAGCAAGATTTGCAAAAATCCAAGCAAGATATTGAAAAAATCAAACCAGTGGACATTGGAGTTAGAATTAATACTAAAAAGGAGCTATCAAATGGAAAAATCCTTCTAAAATTTCCATCGGAATCTGACATGGAGAAGATGAGAGATACTGCTACAAAAGTTTTAGGAAAAAATTACGAAATTATTCAAACTACATTAAGGAATCCTCAGATAAGAATTCCTGGATTTGTACAGGATTGTAGTGAAAACACTGTAGAATCCATGATAAAGAAGCAAAATCCATTTATAGGTGAAGAACACTTTAAAGTCACATATATAAAATCTTTTAAAACAAAAAAATATAAGACTGTATATGCAGAGTGTTCCCCTAAGTTGTTTCACTTACTTATGGAAAGAAAGAAAATTTACATGGGATGGGAGAGATTTCCAGTATATGAAAATATAAGTATACTTAAGTGCTTTAAGTGTCAGCAGTTTAATCACAAATTTAATGACTGTCCCAACAAACCAGTCTGTTGCAATTGTGCTGGAGAACATGATACGAAAGAGTGTGTAAGCCGGAATCAAAAACCAAAGTGCAAAAATTGTGAAAGTGCAAATAAAAAATACTCAACAGGCTATGACATCTACCACAAGGCAAATGATGAGGAATGCTCTACATACAAATATCGTCTGGACAGTGCAAGATCGAGAATCAACTATGGCTGATCCTACAATTGAGCTTCTTGAGGACTTACCAGAGTCTGTAAATACTAGCTTAAGAGTGAGTCCGGGTGTTTTGATAGATAAGATAAATATAGTGGGAAAACTGATTAACATTTTACATATAAACATTAGAGGTTTAATCACAAACTTTAATAATTTGTTGGTATTCTTGGAAACTTACAATATTAATGATTACTGTGATATTGTGATTTTGACTGAATGTCATAAGTTAGAATCTTTTCGAAAGTTTGACATACCAGGTTATGTATCATATTACAACAGTGGTAACTATAATGCTTTTGATGGGGTTATTATCTACACAAAATTAAATTTGAATCCAATTTTTGTCAACTATAAACTACGGAATTCAGAAGTTACCATAACTAAAATTGCATTGTCTGTAAAAAATGTTACCTATACTATATTTGCTTTATATAGATCTCCATCTTCGAGTTTACATGAATTTTTGAATGACTTAAATATATTTTTTGAAACTAATGTTAGTAGTAATAGTAACATTGATATTTTTTTGGGTGATATTAATATTAATCTTCTAAGTAAGGATAATGTTGATGTAAACAGGTATCTTTCCATAATGTTCTCGCATGGGTTTGTTCCATTGTGTCAGGGGGTTACGAGGGAGGTGAGTGAAACCTGTCTCGACCATCTTTTCGTGCGCGACAAAATCAAAGCAGCCTCCAGAAAAATAGATAGCTATATTATAGAACATGACATAACTGACCATCTACCCCTCATGCTTCATGTTTCAGATGACTTCGCTGTAAGCTCTACAGAATCTAACTGCCGAAATGTCTTTAAATGTATTGATATGAATAAATTGAAGCACTTAGCATCTGAGGTAGACTGGAACTACAGTTTGGTTTTTGATCAAGCAGAGGAAGCAACCAATTACCTTTTTAAAAAATTAAGTAATATTATAGAAAAGTCAGAATTTGTTAAAAACACCCTGAATAATTATAAAAAGCTTAAACCGTGGATTACAAATGCAATAATTAAATCTATGAAAAACCGAGATAAGCTGAAAAGAGCCCTTAAGCTAAACCCGTCTCCAGCAGAGATATCGGAATACAAAGAATATAGAAACCGTCTTAATAAAATAATAAGATTTACAAAAAATGAGTACTATAAAAGTAAATTTAATCAAAGCTCGCATGATATCAAAAAAGTTTATAAATTAGTTAAAGAGGTAACAAATGAAAGCCAAACAGAATGTCCTATAACTTACCTAAAGGATGAAAAAAATGACATGATTATTGATAAAAAGCAAATTGCTGATTTTGCAAATAACTTTTTTATAAATATTGGCAGAGAAATGTCAGATAAAATTGGGAACCCTCCCACACCTTTTCAATTTATAAATAGCCCTTCCTATTCAATGTATTTAAAACCGACCAACAGGAATGAAATTATTGAACATATAATGAGTCTAAAAAATAGTTGCTCTCCAGGATTAGATAAATTAACGACTAAAATAATCAAACAACTACATGTATATCTCTTGGATCCCTTAGTTCATATAATCAATCTGATTTTCAAAACGGGCAAAGTACCTAAACAATTTAAAATATCGGTTGTATCACCTATTCACAAAGCAGGAGATAAAGAATATATAAGTAATTATAGACCAATAAATATAATATCAAATTTAGCAAAGATATTTGAAAAATGCCTTAAGGTTAGATTGGTTGCATTCTTGGACTCAAATAAGTTGTTATCTGAGAATCAGTTTGGTTTTAGGCAAGGTTTAAGCACATCACATGCGGTTTATGAATTAGCGTCTAAAATAATGTATCATTTAAATAACGGTGATAAGTGCATCGCTTTGTTTTTGGATTTAGCAAAGGCATTTGACACGGTATCTCATCCTTTGCTCCTCCAAGCACTGGAGGGACATGGAGTTAGGGGTGCTGTGTTAAGTGTATTTAGAGATTATTTAATGCATAGGATTCAGTGTGTCAGGATTGCGGACGTTCTAAGTGAACCTAAGACGGTTCAGCATGGAGTTCCACAGGGTACAGTACTTGGGCCAATTCTTTTTAATATATATGTAAATTACCTCTGCAGTCTTGCAGTTGATGGCGATGTAATTGCCTATGCTGATGACACTGTGGTGGTGTTTCATGGAGAGACATGGGAATCAACGGGTGAAAAATTGAAGACTGATTTTGCAAAAATTAAAAACCTTCTGGACACATTTAAATTAACTCTGAATATAAAAAAAACTCATTACATTGCCTTCTCTATAACCATGGCTAATAGACCAGCATTTAATCAAATTAAACTTGATAATATTGATGAGCCTTTGAAAGAAGTAAATGAAATTAAATATTTGGGGGTTGTTGTTGATAAGCACTTGAAGTGGGACCGACATGTGCTGTATTTGAGCAAAAAAATTAGATTTTTCATTCATAAATTCTACGCTCTTCGTAATATACTGAACATTAAACTACTATTAATGATTTACAAAGCACTTGTGGTCCCACTATTGGTATATGGCATAATTGTGTGGGGTGGGATGTACGGTTCAAATCTTGGGCAGCTAAAAGTGGTGCAGAACCATATTGTAAGGATCATTCTAAAAAAACCTAGATTATATCCCACTATGCAACTTTATTCACAAGAAATAAACAATATTAAAATCTTATATATCCTTGCAGTATGTAGTTTTGTACATGCAAGTAAGAAATTAAATACAAATTATGTGTCCCACAATTATATGACCCGAGCAAACACCACTCATAACCTGAACGTCCCGCAGTCCAGGCGAGATTTAAATTTGCGTTTTGTGACATATCTTGCACCTAAATTTTACAATTTGATTCCTGCTAATATCAGGAATATTGGAAATAATAAAAAATTTAATATTTCGTTTAATATGTTCTGTTGGGAAAATCGTGAACAATTTATGCGTCTATTTTAAGTTGCTTTGAGGTAGATTGATCTGCCTATTTGTTCCATCTCTTTCTTTTTGATATTATTGTGACATTTTTTTTCTGTGATCTTAAGTTAAATCTATTACTTACAAAAATATGAAATTTTCTTTCATTTTGTGTATATCGTGTATCATGTTTTGTTTGTATAGTTGAGTGATTTTATACAAAAAATATATATTGCACGATATTTATCAATTAATTACTGTTTTGGTCTGTTTTTGCGCATACAAGTTTTTAAACTTAGGCGCTCATATATTATAGAGAAACCTTGTTTTTGTTTCGTTAATTTACAGATATATATTATTTTTATATTGGTAAATTTTGGTTCTGCTGAATAAATGTGGTAGAGTTCAGGGCGTACTGTTCTCTCCAACAACTCAACTCAACTCAAAACTCTCATCGGAGTATTGTGTTTCGATCTGGAATTGGCCCGTGGCGTTCAACATTGAACTGTCGACGGAATAAACGTTGCACGATCACTACAGAATCATCGTTTCGAAAAAATTGCTCGACGGCAAACACACGATGCTCCGTCATCCACGGTGCCATGGCTGAAACTGCATCGCATGTGTTCTCTGCTGGCGGTGCGGCGAGGTCATATCCCTATTCTGTGCGAAATACCATTCAGTCAGAAAACATGCGTTTCCTCTGCGCCACCCTGTATTTTCTGCAATGGAACAATCAGCGGATGGTTGAGAAGACGTGATGTAGGTGGACTGGAAGTACTTGGCAAAAGTATCAACAATTTCCTGTGGATTCCTGAACTCCTCATTTTCCAAAGAGATATTGTTGGGTATGCCTGATCTGTTGCTGCGCAAGTTAACAAAGGACCAAAATTGATTGGGGTTTTGCGCAAGGGCACGCTCAGTTCTCGCAACAAAATTAGAAAACGCCAAGTCTATATCGATTTTGATGGCACTTCGCAAGGTACTGAAAGCTTCATAGTCAGATCTAACCAAAGTTCTCTTATATCGCTTCCAGGGGCGATGTTTTTTTGATATTTTAAAGATTATTGCACGATAAAACCAGGGAGGGTATCTGTTATCCTTTGGTAATGTGCATGGAACGTGTCTATCGAAAGCGTTATACAATTTATTATAAAACAGGTCACAAGCAATATTAATCTCGAGGATGTCAGATGGAAAAGAAAAATCTGAATCCATAATACTGGTGTAGAGCGCAAGAAGATCTGCTCTCCTAAACTTGTATTATGGAGCTATGTGTACTTCATACACTGACGTGGTCAGGTGACCAACCAGGTCGATCCCACATCGATAAATCGTTTAAAAAATGGCGTCGTCCACCCACGAGTGAAACAAGAACCAGATATGCTGTTGCTAAGCGGTTTGAAAGCGTGGAAGGAAAATATCTAGAATAGTGGCCCAGATTTGGTCCATCCACGCTTCCTCTAATAGGGATCATGAAGATGATTGACTGTACTGATCACCGGCTAAATATAGCCTGCCAGCCTTTCCTATTTCGCATACCGAGACGTGTTATGCTATAAATAGAAGCGCAAACTGACTGCGGTACTCGTTTCTCCGAGTCTACGAGTTTGTATGTCGGTCGTTGTTCTCTTCCGTGGATATGAATGAACGGCAAAAATGCTTGGCTACTAACAAGTAGACATCCAATTTAAACGGTTGAACAGATGATCTTGTACGACAGTTAAGAAGATAAATTAACCACTTAAACTAAAAAAGAATTACCAATATGTTATATACAATCAATGAAAAATCCTTATTTTTCGATAAAAACCGGAAACTATCGATATGGTATAGGAAAAAGCATTCTATTAACTGCCTAAAATAAACCAAAATTATATTGAAAAATGAATCAGATTGATTATGCATTTTTTAATGCAATTAAAAACAAATTAACCAAATTTAAAATCAAATAAAATAAAAATTTTTGCTTTATAAACTATGGTCCAAAAATGTTACCTTACAAAAAAAACTCGGGGTGTTAAAGTTTTAGGAAAAAAATTAATTAATATTTTCAGAACCGCTTCAGATATTTCACTTTAGTACGTAGTGAAAGTTAATAAGGTTGCATATTTTTCAATGCAAAAATAATTTTCAGCTCTAACAGTGGTACGGGTATTGACTTTGATATTTTTTAAGAAAAAAATGGTACGCCAATGGTTTTTTGCCAAATGAAAATTATTTTTGAATTCCCCGTTCAATTTAAAACAAATGATCTCTCTTGAATTGTTTTCCTTCGATGCGCCATTTTTGAGTAAAAAAATATAAACCGTTCTATTGTCCCAGAAAATTAATGTAATAATTATTGAAGAATGAAATTAAGCAATAAATGTCTAGTTTCTCTGGAATATGTCGCTGGCTTTTGACATCTGACAAGTCTTTCTTATTCAAATATGTTCGCTGTGACATATTTTTCATTATTTAGTTTTTACAATCTTGTTAATAATGGTGAATTACTCAAATGCAGAAATGGCGGAAATGCATTACGTATATGGCCTTGCCGACGGTAAAGGTGAGCAAGCCAGACGGATTTATCACCGGAGATATCCCGATCGTGCTTTGCCAGATAGTCGAACCTTTTCTAATATTCATCGTCGTCTTGTTGAAACTGGTTCTGTCCGAAAAGGAACATCTGAAGGTAGACCTCTAAGTGTGAGAACACCTGCACGAAATCGAACATCCTGAAACGAGTACGAGGAAGTTCGCTAGTCACATATTTGCCATCAATTTGTCTGGAGAATTTTAGTGGATTTTTCGTTCAAAATCTGAATAGAGGGCATTTAAATGTTGAACGTAAGTTGAAACGTCGTCTTCCTGGCAGCTTGTCTGTGACAAATTGGGGAACTGAGAAAATTCGCCCCGTCCAATATTTTGCTTCAATAGTTTAACTCTGGCAAGAAACGCTGATAAGATGGACTTTGTTTTAATCAAATTTAAACTGTCGCCTTGTAATTGCAAATTGACCATATTAAATTTTGTAAACAAATCTGTTAAATAGGCGATGTCTGTTTTCCTCTTCATTAAATTTTCTTTTAAAATTTTATCTTTATTATCCAGAAATTCTAAAATTGTCTCAAAAGGTGCAAAAAATCTTGTCAAACATAAGTCTTTCGACAGCCAGCGTACTTCAGTGTGAAGGAGTAATTGATGAAAGTGTTCGTCATTTTCTTCACACAACTGCGCAAATAACTGCGTATTCAAGGCGTTGCTTCGGATTCGGTTTACTGCATCAATGACTAAATGAAGTGATTCATGCAATCTAACACTCAAATTTTTAGCAACTAAATGTTGTCGATGGATGACGCAATGTATTGCTAACACCCCTGACACATTTTTTTTTAAATAGCTTATAAATCCACGATAACGTCCAACCATGGCAGGTGCTCCATCTGTAGCTACTGATATTATATTTGATAAAGGAATTGCTTTTTCAATGAAGTAATCCTTCAAAACATGAAATATTGATTCACCTTTAGTGTGGATTATCAAAGTTCTTGCGAAGAGCAGTTCTTCGTAGATTTCTTGATTCATAATAAAACGAACATATGCCAATAATAATGCTGCATTATCAGGTAAAGTTGACTCGTCCCGTTGTATAGAGAAATGGGTCGTTTGCAAATAATTACATAAGAAGCTTTCAATATCAGAACTCATCTCATCAATACGTCTTTCAACAGTATTGTTGCTTAAGGGAATTCTTTTAATGATATCAGATGCAGGTTTGTGTAAAACAGTTTTTAAAACCTCTTCAACAGGTGGCAAAATTAACTTCTCTCCGATAGTATGCGGTTTTCCAGATTTTGCTATAAGTAACGAGATATTGTAAGACGCCCGTAAACCGTCATCATTTCTTGTGACGTCGAAGCGAACATTCTGTCCAGTGTAGGTCTCTACTGAAATTTATCTTTGAGTGTTTGAAAGTATTTCAAATCTTTCTCTTTTTTATCAGGGTGGCATCTTCTCAGATGATCTTGCAGTTTAGATGGTTTCATAGCGTCATTGCCCAAAACGTTGTTGCATAAAAGGCAAAGCCTAATTTCAAATAATCAACACTGTACTGTCTACATTTCTTTTTAGATTCGGACATGGCATCAGTCATCTGTGGGCAAAATTAAATTATTTAAATAAGACAGAAAATCCAGCAGCTGTATATTAAAAATATTTTTTGATTTTTCCGAAAACATTCCATAATTCGAACATCTTCTTGCAACAATTAGCTCGAATTACGGAGATTGCACTGTAATTATATTACCGATTGCTAAAACTATCAAAAAGAAGCTATTGAGGAGTACTCGTGTAATTTTGCATGATTGAATATTTAACTACTAATAACTAAAGTCATGATTGGCGTAATTTATCTATCTTTGCTAACTACGAGTACAAAACTAAAATTTAATAAAAAATAATGTATTTACTTTTCTCCAGCACTCTCAAACAAAATAACACTGACTCACTATAATTTGTGTGATATCCTATCTGTTTATATTTTTTTAAAATATTTTCTTAGCACTTTCCTTTTCAAGATTCAGGAAACGAATAAACGTATTTTTCTCACATTCGTATTTATAGAGTGACGAATTGAACAAGTCAGTGCAAGGTAGCGAAGCTCTGAGACTGCGACTCTCAGGTTTTTACAAGTTCAAAATGTATTGCTACCACAAAGCGAATACCGACATCCTACAACTTACACAATTTTATAAACATATATAATAAATTTTTTACTTCATAGGTATTTTTATAAATAATGTATATGTTTTGATATTATAAGATAGTATGATGTAAGTAAATAGGTACTATCAGTGTATGTGTTGAGATCCACTATCGTGGACCCCCATATTCATTTTATGGACCCCCAAATTTTTTTTCGCTGACGTAGACCCCTTGCAGGTTGTCATAGACCCCTAGGGGTCGATATAGACCACTTTGGGAATCAATGCTGTAGAGGAATTAAGAGAAAGAATAGTTGCAGCTTGTGATAGAATAAAAAACACTCCACGGATATT